ATCACCTTTAAGCTCTAATGTCTGAGCATCTAAATAAACTGACCTCAGCTCTTTAAATGCACTTTTCACATCAAATGTTTATTTTGCCATTTTGACTATTTCTAAACACCTTTATATTGTTTCTCATTCTATTTTTCTGTTTAAGGAAATGTTCTCTGGTTGTCTTTAAGTTTTTTACAGCCCCCCCCCCCTCCTCTCCTTTCACATTTCCTACACTTTCCAGGGAAGTTAACCACCAAAGCACGCCCTCCTCCCTAACACCTCCCCCTCTCCTCCCTCCTCTGTGCCAGAGGAGAGGAGATCTCAACCAGAGAGCCGACAAAGCGCAGCAGAGCTGAGCTGGCGGCCCCAGCAGCACATTCCTACAGCTGTTCAAAGCTGAGGAAATCCTCAGGGCTGAGGTAGGCTTCCCTGCAGCTGGGAGTCAAAATGACTTCAGTGTAATGAAAGTTTTCTAGCCTGACGTTACGGCTGACTTTCTCCTCTAGCTGTGAGTATTTATGTCTTTTATACTCAGAATATAACTTGAAGATTTCAGGGTTGCAGTGTTGAATCCAGTTTGGGTTCAGTGCAAAACTTTTTAATGTTCTTTACACTCATTTTGCTTTTAGGTAGAATCCAGCAGGAGACACTGATTCTTGGAAATCAGTGATTAATAAAGAGGACAGACGTCAGGAAGTCTCCTATCAGGACAGAGCTGAAGGAGCGGGTCTAACGCAGTCCAGACCTTCAGCATTTCACCCCTTAACCTTTGTCCATTAATCCCTCCCCCCTCAGTAAACTGACTGGGGGGGCATCTCCACAGGAACTCAGCCTCAGACATTAACTGAAACACCGGGCGGTACTTTCCCTACCTGCCCCCCCGTGGCAGCTGCTGTGTCCATGGAAGGTCAAACTCAGGCTCCAATGGGGGAGTCGTGTCACCCCCGTTCTCCCTCTCCAGAGGGGGAGACTGTGTGTGCAGCTCTGGCTCGTTTTGAGAACACTTTGCAGGATGCAATCAGGAACATCCAAGCGGAGGTCAGCACTTTTAAGCTGGATATAGAGCGGCGCTGTGAGGAGACGGCCAACCTGAGCGGCCCCCTGGGACGGGCGGTCCTCCAGCTCCAGCAGGAGAACCAGCAGCTCCGGAACCAGCTGGAGGCTCTCACAAGGCAACTAGAGCTCCTTAACGGTGGAACGTGTGAGTGGAACATGATAAGCAATAACCACAATCACAAGAATGAGCTGCATGATGCTCAGAGGAACCACCAGGACGTGAAGGAGGTGATTCATGGGAAAGGTCAAGTGAGCACCCAGAGCCAGGCTCCTCACCACATGCAGAACTTCCCTGTGGAAAACCTGGCGCCGTCCTACAACAGGCTCAGCAGTCAGTCCAACCGTGCCACCCGGTCCTCTTCCCCCACCATCTGCAGCAGTCCTCCAGCTGCTTCCAAAGGATCCTCCATGGTTCTGAGCCCGGGGACGAGCAGCAGCCCCTCCATCACGCGCTTCTCCAGCAGAGCTACCTTCGCTGTCTCCAGCATGACCAACGTAAGACGAGCAAACCTTTACTTTACTGCTGTCTTTTAAAACCAATGCATCCTACAATTATGATAAATCTGTTTTAATGATCATTCATGTCATGTGAAAATGCCAATTAACTTTAAATCTAATTATTCCACGCGTGTCTCACCATCTAGGTCACACATTCTAGCCTAAAATAAGAATGTAACACACTGGAGACCCCCTAAAAATACATCAATTAGTTAATTCATCTTTTTAAATGAATTTTTTAATTATTCAATGGGTCAGTTTGAAATTTAATGGTAGATTTAATGTTGTAAGGAAGAGGATTAGGGCCACTGAAGAAATAAAAAACAGTTAACTGAAGTTTTTAAATATTATTTCAGTTTAATATGGGAAAAAAGTCAGAATTCTGACTTTAATCTGAGAATTATGGATCTTAATGTAGATGGGCCCCATGAGTAATTTGGGAGGAACAGGAACACATTGATTGATTTCATGTATAAACATGCATATCTTTATCCCGTGCGGGCAGTGCTTTTATTTTATTTTATTTATTTTTATTTATTTTAGTTATTTTATCTTATTGTGCAGCACTTTGGAAACCTTGTGTTTATTGAAATCGTGCTATATAAGTACAGTGGATTGGACATTGATGGCGAGTTTTTCCATCCCTGGTGATGCTACTTCATTAATGGAAGAGCAGAAGGTGATTAAAACCAGAGAGATAGTCTCTAAAACAGACACGGCTATGGCTGGATGCTAACATGTTTGTTAGCTGTCAGAATTCATTTAGAATTCTAAGATTAAAGTCCGAATTCAGACTTTTTTCTCAAATTATACTGAAAATCTAAGTAAGTAAGTTATAATAAAATCAGGTAACTTTTTTTTTTTCCCAGTGGCCCTAATCCTTTTCCGTAGAATTGTGTATTAGATAAATAAATAAGTAAAATCTACTTGAGCCGGGCATACATTGTGCAATATTTGTTTTATTTAATTTTTTTCAATATTTTCGATTGTTGCTCGCAGCTACAGCTCACGCTGTACGATGAAAGGGCAGAGTTTAAAAGTTCACAGCTACTGATGGCGCTACTCGGACTCATCTATCAGGAAGCCAAACGATTAGCAGAGGAACATGAAGCTAACTAGAGAGAAACGCGCTGCCTTGGATATTTGGGCAATTTTGTGCTTGGAAAATTCTTGCATGACTGGAGAATCCTAGCCTCGTGAGACCATCCTGATCTCGCGATCTTTCAAGGTTTCACTCGCAGATCAGTCTGGAGACTCTCCGTTAAAGAAAATGTGGAGCCGTTCACCAAACGAACGTCCAATCAGCGTTGGCTTTGAGGCGGGTTGAGGTGTGACGCAACGAGAAGCGCGACGGTTCAGTCTAAAGAACATGGCGGCTTCAGCCGATGAAACTAGCGTTAGCGTGGCTATCGAGCAAGTTTTATCGGAATTATAGAGTATTTCTTCACCAAAAGAAGAGCAAAACACTGCTCTGG